AGGTTCTGAAAGAACCATCCTCATGTGGTGCCTACTACCTTTTGTGGAGCTCAGGTTGAGGGCCTCCTACTATCTGAAGGCTTTCTGATGCTAGATAAAATTCATCCCATTTCATTTATTCAGTGTTTTATCTATCAAAGAAATCATTAAACTGTCAGTTAAGATACTAAGAACTAATAAGGCATGAAAGCTGAAAAATTAGATTTAGTTACCAAAATACAGTTAGTTGAACTGCATTCAGTGTGCCCATAGAGATGCTGGGCTGATTTAAAAGATATTTTAATCTAATCATATAATCTAATCTAATAGGTGGGTTTTCTTCCACTGCAAAATATATCTTCTCTGGACAGCTGTATTACCATCTTAAGTCAGGACTACAGCATGCTGACGGTACAGGACAAAGTCTTATTCTGATGTTTCTTTGTCAGCTTTGTAAAAGTAGTTGCCTGCAGGTTAAATAGAATTGCTGTAGTGTGGTGTAAACCAGAGCTGAGTGTGCTTAAGTCATTAACTGCATTGCTATAAGAAACAAAAGTGGAACTCTAGTATAAGTCTGTCTTATTTTGGACATCAGTTGAAGGTTAGTCAAGGTGAGACTTCTTTAAGGAAAATAAACATTTATATTGGCATTTGCATCCAGTTAGCTAAGTCCTTTCATAACCACATGCTTTGAATAAATAAGAATTTCAAGGCTGTTTGAGACGGAAATGCGTTTTTTGTACACTGGGATATGTATCCTGAAAGTCTCCGCAAGTCCTGCATTACTGGATAGTGCTGATAAATAACATAGACTTCTTAAGTTATCTGCTTTTTTTCTTCTTTTCCTATTTTAGTTGTTGACGAGATCAAGGAAATGATGGAAGAAATAGAAAATGCAATCAATGCTTTTAAAGAGGAACAAAGGCAAATGTATGTTTATGTATGCTTCAGCTACTAGAAAAAGGGCTGTTGTAAGACACAATGAAAACTGCATTAATCTAGCAAACTGTTCTTATGATTTACTCTCTTGGTAGTGATTCCTGTGGTAGGTAAATCAAAGCACAAGCTGTCAGCGTTAGATTCTTGATAAACTGACTTTTAGAGAGGGTGTTTATACAGCTATTGCAGCATTCCAATATAACAAGGATTTGCCTATGAATAGGCTTTTTAGAGAGGCTGTAGAAGAGATTAGATTGTGGCCGGGTTTTTTGTTGCTGTTGTTTTCTAATCGGGTTTGGGGGTTTCTTTTCCTTTCTACTCGTGTCAGGAGGGGATTGAGTTAATTGTATGCATGCCATGAATGTGTTCTTTCAGTAAAAGGGTAACTTAATTCTCATTGTGTAGGGCTTTATTACCGATCATTACAACTGTGCTGTTACCACCTCAGTTCTTAATCTTCGAAGAATAGCTCTTGTGTGGCATTGAACAATTCCAAAATTCATTTTTGGTGAATGGAGAATCAATACTGGATTTTTTTCCTTACATTTCAGTGTTTGTCTCTTTTCAGATACCAACAGCTTTTGAAAGAGGAAAAAGCAGCCATTAATGAGCTCAGTCTCTTTGAGAGAAGAGTGGAACTGTGGGCATTAGGGAGCTCAACAGCAGAAAAAGTTTGGAAGTTACCTTCAGCCAGGGTCACAGTTGATAAAACACTGGAAAACCACCTACCCGAAGAAGTAATAGAGTTTGAAAAATTTCTTCAGCGAACAGGGGGGCGGCAAGGAGGCTGGGATGATTATGATCATCAAAATTTTCTGAGAATACGGACAAAATACAGAGGAAGGCTATCTTACATGGATGAAGCCCTTGAGTATCTCAGCGGAAGAACAAAAGAAGATATAGAACAGCATGACAAATGGTATCAAGAATATGTAATTTTACATGAAAGAAAGAAAGAGGTAAAATAACGACTCTAAGGCTTTTGAAGATTTCAGAAAATGTATTTATTTTTGAAATGCATACTGTCTTGTTTATGTATCTGCCTTTCTGGTTGTAGTGCTAGTCAGATTTGTCTTACAGCTGATAGTATATAACTGAAGTCTTTAGCATCCCCAACCTGCCAAAGTATTTGTCTTTAATAATTACAAATAGGCAAAGACCTAACAACACAGAGAAGTGGCCTGTGTATTGGCGAAGTATATTACAAATGCTTTTGAAGTCAGTGATTTAGCAAGTTAGGTGCCAAGCCCAGAGCAGTTAGTGATCCTGTCCTCCTGTTATGTTTGTCTCTAAGTATGTGTGTCCCACTGTATAAGCAATACACCTAAGACAGACTGACATGTAGAATTATGATTCCCTCAAGAACTATCTAAGTAATAAAAGATGTACTGACATAAGTACTATAAAACAGTGGGTTAATAGGAAAGAAAGCAAGAACTGAAATACGTTTACATTAAAAAAGTATATTGCGTCAACATTCATAACTAGTCAAAGTTATTATGATTGCTGTAACTGAAACAGTTTTAGCAGACATCTGTTAAATCTGCTTGTGTGATCCATAAAATAGAAAAAAAAAAAGAGAGAAAACACATATAGATGCTTCTTGGTTTTAGGTTATGCCTTCAGTAGACTTTTAATCCCTATGTGCATTTTGTGTTCTTGGAACACATATCTTCATCAGACTGAATCAACGTGAATATGTAAAATTTTCATGAAATCCTTGGATTTTTTTCCCATGGTCTCTTGCAGTCAATTAAAAAGTGGAAAGAAAAGCAGCAGCAAGAAAAAGAAAGAAACTTGAAGGAGAAAGAGAAATCAGAAAAAATGCTCAAAGAAAGATGGCTACAGCTTGAAGAAGCTCAGAAGCAAAAAGTAGAAGAAGAAAGAAAAAGAAAACAAGCTGCAGTTGAAGTCTGGAAGAAACAGAAAGTAGTAGCATTTGCAATAGATCAAGCATCACAATTAAAACTAGAAGAGAAAGAGAAAAAGCAACAAAAAGAGCGCCAAAGCCACGTGAAGTTATTGTTGGAAAGGAATACCTTGCAAAAAAAAGTCAAGGAGGAACTTGAAAAGCTTGAAAATGAGAAGAAAGAGGAAGCTGAAAAGGAGGGAAGGAAGAAAATTGCTGCAGAAGAAATTTTTAAGTTTCAAGAGCATGTGCGTAATTTCACCTCCATTTTTGCATGTCATTGTTGTAAATTTGATACATCCTACTACAATATAATCAGTTAAACAGGTTTTGAAATCCAAGTATCATTCATCTAAATCCACTATTGATTCATTAGAAATAACAGCATCTACTGCAGATAAACAGTATGAAACTTGAGTTTAGACAAAGATGCTCCTTTTCTTCAATATCTAAATTCTACAGGATTACTCAAGATCATATTTCTTTATCCATGTAGAAGTGGTTTTATTTCTTCAGTAAATTTTTTTTGAGAAAAACTACTTGGGCTATGCTGCTTAAGAAGACTTCAGAGGACCTGAGTATTGTATTCAGATGGGAGGTAGAAAAAGTTGTTTGAATAGCCTGCAGGTTTCAGTACCTGTTAGGCAAATTCAGATCCCATATCTATGTAAATGCAGTTACTGGAGAACTGATATTATTGTCAGCATTCATACTAAACTTTTATAAACAGAGTTTGAACTACTACTTTTTTTATTTCCAAGCCATGTAACTATAATTTGTTTGTGAAGGACAAGCTATAGCATGTAGCTATGTAGTGAAACCTTATTCTTTACTATTGCAGTAATTTCAAAACAAAAACAAGAAACCAACCAAAAATAAACAGAACAAAAACAAAAAAAAAAAAAGCTGTGAAAATGCTGCATGTATATTTTTACATAATTTGTTTTACTTCCAAAGAAAAGTTTGCTTTTCCACTCATTATGTTTCAGGATCTACACAAACTGGAGCTAAGAGTTCTGCAGAAACATGCTAAAGAGACAGAGAAACAGGAAAAAGAAAAAAGATTGGCAAAGTTAAGAGAGAAGGTAACTTTTTGTTTGTTTTAACCAGAGATGTGTGCAGCTTGGTGGTTTAAGCAGATTTTCTTTTCATTGATCTAAAAAGCAATTGTTTTAAATTTTCTAAATGGTTGATGAAAGAAACCAAAAAGTCATGCCTGTTATCAGTAGACAGAATTGCAGCAGGCGTAGTTGTTCCTCTTTAAAAAAAATGGGAAAACCCCCTAGAATTTATGTGTTTCACAGTACTTCACTGGGTAAGGCCTCTAAAAGCAAGCTCCAATATGGGTGGTGGCTTTCATTTTTTCAAATAGATTTCTACCATTAGTTAAAGAAGTAGGCTGTCTCCCAGAAGCATTATGCGTACACTGGGTTTAACAAGAGTTTAACCTTTTAAATTATTAAATGATTAACATTTAATGACAGCAAGCGGTGTCTCTGTCTTTTACGGTGGAGACCCGGTGGGGGTCATGTAGCTCCTTTTGTGATGAACGAAAAAGGCTAATTATTTTTGGTTGTTTGTTTCACTCTGAGGTCGAGGTTCGGGTCACCAGAGACCGATCCAGGTTGAACAGACCTTCCAAGGGCTGGGAGGAACGCAGGCAGGAGATGGCACCAGCAGCTGCAGAACCGCTGCTGCGCCTTTCTCAGAGGTGAGGAGCGGACCGATGGGCGTGCAGCATGACACAAGCGCACTTCTATACTTTAAGCCTTTTTCTTTTCTTGTCAGAGCTGTCCCAGCCTGGAGAGGAGGGTCGTAGCTGCGCACCAGCCTGTCCCTGCCGCAGTGCGAAGCAGCAGCCAGCACTTCCCGGCACGGAGCTGGGCTGACCCACGGCGTGTATTACCTCTGTGTTTTGCCAGTCTCGGGTTCGACACGCCGGCTCTCAGACCGGCCGGTGTGATGTCCCTTGGCATTAAAAGCGCGTTTTCCCCGTTGTGGCGGCCCCTTAAGCGTGGGATCGCCACCCTGGCCCCCGCCGCAGTGCACCGAGGCGCCCCTTCCCCTTGCCCCGTTCCCTTTCCCTCTGCTTCCCCCTTCCGTTTCCCCGCCCCGGGGCGGGCGCCGCGGCTGACGCGATCCGGGCGCGCCGGGCGCGGGCAGCAGCGGCGAGATGGAGATGGCGGCGGCGCCGTGCCCGGGGGAGCCGGAGCGGCTGGACTTCCTGCGGGAGCGGCACGTGCGCTTCTTCCAGCGGTGCCTCCAGATCCTGCCCGAGCGCTACTCGTCCCTGGAGACCAGCAGGTAGCAGCGCGGCGGGAGGCGGGACGGGCGCCGCCGTGTCCGCCCGGCGCCCCCCGCCCGTCCCGGGCCCGGCCGCGCTCCCTTCCCGTCGGGCGGTCGCGGTGCAGGGAATCCCCTCCCGGAGCGCTGCCGTCTCCTGCGGCCGGGAGCAGCGCCCCGCGGCCGGAAGGAAAAAACATCCCTATAAATCTGCCCACCAGCAGACGGCTCCCAAAAAAATATGTGTTAGTGTAGGGGTGTAGTCACGGCTCGCGTAAACTGCTTGATATCCACGAGGGAAGACCTGTTGATCCTTCTAATCTATTTAAATCCAGTGCTTCACTCTCTTAATCCGCTCTGGAAGCCATTTTAAAATAAATCACCTAAGCTTTATTTCGGCACACAGAAGACTCCTCTTCATGTAACAAATAATTTAAAGTCTTCATTACCTAGTATAAAAGAGAAAATACTAGTGAACTATGTCCCTCACTTTGAATTGGAGTGGCATTTGTTCCTCTAATGGCTTCAGGATGTACTTATTTGATATTCTTACTTTGAAACCATAAGAATACCAGTGATGTGATTATCAAGCTGCCCTTGATAAAATATTGGTGACAAGTAGATGGTTTGATAATCTTCTTCAGCCAATAAAATAGTAAGATTCTTTCCACTTTGTAATGTCTGGCAAGTCATCCTGTGTGGAATGCTCCGTGGCTTTGATGAGGTCATCCTGCTTTATCTTGGTTGAGAGCACAAACACCTGGCATAAACATGTAAGGACTAGAACACATAGTGCTGAGCTGTGTGTGAAATAAGTCCACTTTATATTGAAAAGTTAGAAATGGAACTGCTGTAGAGGGGCCAGCAGAGGGCTCAGAAGATGGTTAAGGGACTGGAGCATCTGTCCTGTGAGGAAAGGTTGGGTGAGCTGGGCCTGTTCAGCCTCAAGAAGAGATGACTGAGAGAGGGTCTTACCAGTGCATTCAAGTATCTTAAAGGATGGGTGGTGGGAGGATGGGGCCAAACTCTTTAAGTGGTCCCTGTGACAGGGCAAAGGGCAGCAGACAGAAACACAGGAAGGTCCATCTCAATATGAGAAAAAGCTTCCTCACACGGGGCTGATCACTGAAACAGACTGCTCAGAGAGGTTGTGGAGTTTTCTTCCCTGGAGATATTCAAAACCTGCCTGGATACAATCCTGTAGAAACTGCTCTGGGTAAACCTGCATTAGGAGAAGGGCATTGTATGAGATGATCTCCAAGGTCCTTTCCAAATCTCGCTATTCTGTAATTTTGTGAATTTTTGATTGCAGAGCTGTAGATCATTTATTCATTAAAAATTAGCTGGTGTTTCAGTCTACTTTCGCATTCATTTTGGGTGACAGCAAGGGGAAGACAAGGCATCCTGTGCCTAACTGTGTTTAGGCCTTAAAATTATCAGAGCATGCAGATGTATTAGAGTGATAATACATGTAGCTAACATTAGCCCCACTGACATTTGAAAGGAGCTAAAGAAATGGGATGTCTTCAGCTTTCTTCCTTCAGAGAAGGAAGGATCTAATCACGTTCTTCCATGGGTGGGAAAATACTTACAAAGAAAGATGGAGGTGTACTGTTTGCAAGGGATCCTGGTGACGGGCAGGAGGATGTGGGAATGGTGTACTTAGGGGACAAGTATATGGCTGTAGGAAAAATATTCTTCACTGTTAGAAGAGTTAATGGTAAAAAGCTTGCCCATTGAAGTGATGGAGTCACCTTTGAGGATGTGGCTTCTCAGGGTCCTGGGTCATCTCCTCTGAGGCCCTGCGTTCTTCAAAAGGTGCGACCACTGATCTCCAGGGGCCTTTGACAATGTAGCCATGTTCTGCAGAGGTGCACGCATGTCTGTTGACAAATTCTGAGTGGGAGTTTATAAATGCATAATCTCCAGTTTGATTTCAAGGGTGTTAAGGTTCCCTTTTTGCCAGTTCAAGGTCACTGAGTTCAGCAAACCTTCAGCAAACCTCTGGAGCTGATTCATCTGCAGAAAGAAATGCTGTTACCTTTTTATTTGAATTTCTCCTGTTCCTGAATTGGAATAGTTGTGTTTTGAGTTAAATGGGGAAACTCAACTAAATTTAAGAGACATTTGTTAAATAAATAAATAAATAAAGTGGTTTGTCAGATTTTTTTTTTTCACTGCACTGCAGTAGAAAACTGTGTTTGTTGTCACCAGACAAGGATGGTAGAGAAATTTTCCTCACTGTGATGGTGCATTCCAACTTAAGCTGTAGATTGTAAAACAATAACGGAGAATAAAGAAAATTCATTTCGTGTTCTCTACTCAACTTCCTGCCTCAAAGCCTTTGTAATTATTTTTATCTGTAGTTATTTGCATGCAACAGTAGTTGCAGCAAGAGTAGTTTTGAAGCATTCTTTGATATGCATGATTGATAGAGTTCTGTACACACTGCTTGTTAGTACCGTGAGGTTTTGCAGGAGAATGCAATTTTCTGGTCTCTGAAGTCTTTAAGATTCTGGTACTTCATGGTGCTCTTTGTAGCACACTTAATCAGTTTCTCAGATTTGTCACTTCCAATGCTTTTTGAATTCTTCTGTAAAACTGTAGCCTTTGTCTTCTCTTGAAGCCAGAGGGGTCTGAATCTGCTATCCAATTTGTTATCTGGTGGCCATCCTCTGTGGAAATGGCTGTAGATAAAATTTTTACACTTCTTGGCATGTGTCTGTCACCTGAGGTGCTGCTGAGTTGCTTTTGCTAGCATATATGTCTGTTAATTTTTTGTGAGGGAGGACAGCATATGGACTAAAGATGCAGTACCTAAACAGCTGTGGTGTAACCTGTGTATGACCAGTGGTGCCAGACACTCTTGCCCATTGTAAATAAATTCCATCACTCTGCAGGCTGTTCTGTAGTAATGCTGGAGACAGACAGTCAGCTCTTAATAAGTGAACTGAACCCTAACTGTATTTAAAACCACTTTTTAAGTTCATATATTTGACATATATAAAATGTATGTATAAAATGTATAATATATGCATTTTTAACTGTAGGTGAGATTTGTTTGTGTTTTATGTATAGCCTTGTGGTTTTGGACTTTGCAGCAGTTTTCTAGTGCTTATGTTGGCATATTTGTGCCTCACTGGAAGTAACTTAGCTGGGTAAGATAGAGTGAAAATGCCTTTTTAATAGTTCTAGTAAAAGATTGTCAGTATTCATGAAAATCAGAACAGTCAGTATTTCAAATAAATAGTTTATTGTAGCTGAACAGTAAATTCCTTTGTTTTTTTTTTTAAGAAAATAGTGATTTTTTTTTTAATTAGTTATTTGTTATCTAGGGTCAAATTCTGGATTAAACTGAGATCTGATCAATGGAAAAAGTTGATATAAGCCTTGAAGTGTAAATTTTGCACTTTGGAAGACAATTTCTTTGTCATCAGAAGGGTTAAAATATACTCCTGTTCTACATAGAAATATTTTTGTGTGCAACATACTTTGTCTTTCTCTACTCAAAAAATTATTTGAAATAATGACAGTAAATACACGTATTTTACCAGCCTGCTGGTAAATGCTGGTAGGAATGTCAACCTAGGAGGTTGTGCCACTGTATTAAGATTAACATCTGCTGTGTTGTCATTTGGCTGCTGTATTTTAGTTAGAATAATTCTTTTGGATGTGTGCTTTGGGCTGACTCACATGGTCTTACTGTTTGTGGTTCTGATGCAGAACCTCATGCAGAAATTGTCTGTGGAGGCTGCTGTCCACATGTGTCTCTTCAGAGGTACCAACCTCTGCCCAAGGTGACTCACCAGTTTGTGAGGTAAATATGAATTACAACTTAATTTTGTAAAGAAAGTTGGTATTTCTTTGGCGTACTGAATTTTAGTTTCTGCATGTGTAGCAGTTGTTTCATAATCCATCATCTTATCTGGTGTATGGAGAGCAAGAATTTCTAGAAGGATCGGCAGACAAGTGTGGGTGGCAAAATAAACATCCAGCTAATTTTAGTCTGAGTCAGAACATCCAAGGTACCATTACATGAGCATTTCCTCTCATAGTAGGTTCTCCCGAGTTCCTAACCCAGTGCTGTTGCTTTGGTGCTGTGTCAGAGTGAGTAATGCACTGTTGGAGTGCCATGCCATGGATGGCTGCAATGGCTTAAAACAAACCCAGTAAAGAAGGTGTTAGTTAGCAGGTACGATAGCACACATTCATGGGAGGAAACAACTTGTGGAGAAGAAGGATATTCAGCGTGCTAGCTGCTCCACTGCTCTGTTGGACACTTGAACGTGACTTGCTTAATTTTAGATGTTTAAGTAACGTAGTCATCTAGGCTGCGTTACACCCAAGGACTAGAAATAAGTACCTCTAGGTGTTAATTCATTCTATATGCCTGTTTATGCATTATTTGCTTACAAAGTAGGCTTTGCTGTTTGACATTGACATCTAAGCATCTGACATTGGGTTTGAGACACAGTAAGAGGCAGCTTACTATAGTTAAGGGTTACCTTGCATATGTACCTAATGCATGTTTAGGGGATTGTTCAGTAAGAATTCTTCACAGAGAACTAGTGCTCCATATGTTGGTATAACCTAGTTTACTTTGCAGTGGGTTGTTTTGTTGGGGTTTTCTTTTGGGTAAACAGGCTCTTATGTAAATTTTTAATTGAAGTATCATTATGTAAAGGGGGGGGCAGCTTATATGAAAAACCTTGATGAGGCAAAGAAATGTTTTCAGTACAGAGAACATTATTTTGTCCAGTAGATGACTTCCATGTATTCTAAGCTAGGCTCTATGTTGCACCACTGTCAAAGGCTGAGAATTCATAGATGTGTCTGTTGCTTCAACCATTTGTTAATTTCCCCATGACATTTATGGTGGGAAGTGTAAGTCTTATCTTTTTCTTTTAGGTTGACAATTGCATTTTTCGCACTCTCTGGTCTGGATATGTTGGATTCCTTAGATGTGGTGAACAAAGATGATATAATAGAATGGATTTATTCCCTGCAGGTCCTTCCCACAGAAGACAGTGAGTGAGTTTTTAGTTTTTTTTATTGATATTAACATTTTTACTTTTGCTTTTTACTTGGGGAATAGTGGATGACTCTTGTTTTTATAAAATACGAGGTTGAACTTCCTAAAGTACAGTCCTGATAATTTCAGGTAGTGATGTTGAGCAGATCTTGGATATAGATACCTCACAAGTAATAAAGCTAGAAAAAGCAGAAATTAATTTGAAGATCAGCCAGTATAAAGTAGTATAATAAATTTGCACCTTTAGGCATTTCAGAGGAATGTTTCATATGGTTCTAAAATAATGCATATGTTGTAAAAGTATTACAAGTGTAATAGTGATTATATTGACTTCCACTTCAATGCCAGGACCTGTGATCACAGGGTTGGTTTTTTACAACAGCTTTTGGAGATTCGGAGGTGTAAGAGTAAAAAGCAAAAAGGATAAACAGAGTCCCTGCTTGATGTTCCTTAGGTCTGTGAAGGTTGAATTTACCCTAGGTTTTGAGAAGGAATAATGCTGCTGGTGAATCCCCGCTGTCCTCAGATTGAAAGGTGCATAGCAGAAAAGCTGGCAAGGGAACTCGCAGGAAATGTCCCTTTCCTGGTTGGTTTGACAGAAGTTAGGGAGGTGCTGTTCCTGTGGGCTAGTTGGTGTTGGCAGTTTTTTGCATGGCAGCCCAGGTGAATGGCTGGTTGCACTGCAAGGGGCGGGAAGGAAGGAGGGAGACATGGGTGAGGCACTGCTGCTCTATGACAGAAGGTTCTGCCATGTTAAATGCTGGTGTGGGCATAGCTCCAGGCTGGTGGTCTCTAGAGAAAAGGCAATTCCAGTTGTCTGTCTGTAAAATCATGAATACATCCATCCATGCACTTTGGATGGATGTAGGCAGAAAATTCTGTGTTTCCTTCTATTATTCATTCTAATTATATACAAGAGATAGGGTCTCTAAATACAACAAATTAGGTCTCTAAAATCAGTTCTATGAAATAAGCATATGGAAGTCATGACTGCTGATGCTTTATTTTATGGTAATAATAAAATCCTTTTTCTTACTGTGGAGATTTAGAAACCATCAGATCCACCACACGAACTAGTTCTGATAGATTTCTTTTTCTTGTATTGCATTCCAGGATTGATTCTTGAAAAACAGAAGTTTGGATTACATAAATATTCCTACAAAGTTTTTTAGTGATTAGAAGGTTCCTGTGCCTTACTGTTAAGAAATCTTTCCACAGTGTACATGCTTTGTTTCTAGGAGTTGCTCACTTTGTGACTTTTATCCCAGTCTTTGGGACTTAATTCCAAAAGAAGAGGGAAGTTTGCAAGAAGAGAAATTAGAACAGGCATTTCTGTTTGTTTGTTTGTCTTTGACAGTATGTAGTAATTATCTAGGGATTCTACCTGGTCAGTGTTTGGAATATTGCCATTGTCTGAAGCCTCCTAGGGAAGGCAGTAAAAATACCAGTGTGCTGATGTGGAGGCTGACAGTTCACCAGAGATGTGCTCCTTCTTTTTCTAGCTATCATCCCCGCATAAAACTGAGATGAGTTTTCGGGAAGGCACTTTTGGCAGCGCACTCTGTGCTTTCCAAGTAATAAATCTACTTTTCACTAGAAGAACAAGCTGCCCTTCAGTCCTATATTTTTGTATTATACTCTAATAACTCCTGTTCTTCCTGTGCTTTTGGTAATAACACTGCTCTTATCTGGTCACTTGACCGCTAAAACTTCAGCATCATTTGTATTTCGTTTTTGCGTTTTTTGTTGGACAATAGAAAATGCAAAGATGTAAATGATGCTGATAGCAGCAGGTCTAAATGTGAAGAAGGAAACACCTACACTCCGATAATGTCTACTTCCAGTAAAATGTATTGGCTCTCTGGTTTATAATCCTGGGTGGGTGCAATGCTTGTTAATTGGCAGCCTCCCGGCAGCAGAGCTCCTACTCCCTCTTTTGGCCTCTTTGGAGAAGTGACTAAACTGTGGTAGGCTACAGCACTGAAGTTCTTGGTTTAAAGTGCTTGTGCATCTCTGGTTAAAAGAGGACATTGCTAGCTTGATGGATTGGAATCTGTCTACATTAAAAAAAAAAAAAAAAAAAAAAAAAAAAAACAAAAAAAAAAAACCAAAACCAAGAAAGCACAACGTTTTACTTTTAAAGAAACGTGCTATTGCAGCGTTTTTTTCATGCTTTCTGATAAATGTCTCTTTCCATGGAATATTGGTTTGTAAAAATTTAAATTAATATACTCTTTTATAATTATAAATTCCACCAATCTAAAGTAACCATACTGTATTCAATGAAAGTCTTCACAAAGTTTGGCTTTGGGACTGAAAACCAATTTAAAAGTTACATATTAAATGGTAATATGATTTTACAGAATCTTGGGGTTTGTTCTTGGTTGCATCAGTGGTTGAATTTCTAAAAGTTTCTATCAGTCAAAAAGAGAATTCATGGAATTCTTATTGGAAAAATAAATTTCTTTGCTTTTCATGTTTTTTCCTCTAAAGGCTCCTTTATGCGCAGTACTTAACTTGATTTTTATTAAAACATTTTTTTAAGGTGACCAAATTTATATTATTTTGCCAACTACTACTACCTTAGGGTCTTTTTTCCAGTGGATGGGAGACAGAGTAGTTGGTGCTCCACAAACTTAGTATCTGTTTATTTTTTACCAATAACTATAGTTATTGTAGGTGAACTGGCTGGGCTGGAATTAATTTTTTTAGTAGTAGCCTCTAATCTGCTGTGTTCTGAGCCTGGTACTAAAAGAGTGTTTTAGTCTTTCAGCTATTGCTGAGTGGTGCTAGTCGAGGCTGGTTCTTTTTGCCTCCTCTGCACTCCTTTTCCCGTGGCAGATATAGCAGGAGACACATCCAGGACAGCTGACCCAGGCTGACCTCAGGACTGTCTGGAGGGACACTCCACACCATCTAACATCATTTTCAGCAATAAAAGCTTGGGAGGAGAAGGAGAAAGGGGACAATATTTGTGGTTCTGGCATTTGTCTTCCTGGGTAACCCGTACACTTGCTGAGACCCTGCTTTCTGGGAAGTGACTATGCACCTGCTGGTAAATTAATTCCTGCTTTGCTTTGCTGTGTGCCCCCAACTTCTGCTTCACCTATCAAACTGTCTCTGTCTCACTCTGTCAGTCTTCCCTTCATCTCTCTGTTTTCTTGCCTCAGCTGCTGGTTGGAGTCAACCCACCACAGCAGAGTGTTACAGAACCTGCTAGAAAATTCAGAATTTGGTGGTTTCAAACACTGCTTAGATAAAGTCTCACAATACCCTGTGATAGTCTTAAGTGACATGTTTGTATTTACTGGTATGTAATGTGTCTGATGGCTAATGATAGCTTCACTTCAAAGGTTTGTAGCCTTTGAAATTTTGTGTGAAACTAAAGCTCAGTAATGTAGAGATCTTGATCTACTGAGTAAGAAGGCAAACATACGCTCTTCAGTCTAATCAAAGTGCACTTAGGGAAGCTGAAGATTAGGTTCTGTCAGGATAGACTGTATTCTTCTGTGGGTTTATTGTAGCTGTGATTCAAACAAAAAAATGTCCTTTTGGTACCATAAGCTTAGCCTCGAGTCTTCCAGAGACTGGCTTAATACCACTTCTAATTAGGAGGGAATGGCAGCACATCACATGTGCAAACTGAGCCTCACACAGAAACACATTCTTAGCTGAATGCGTCCACTTACTGCTACCTCTACTTGTTTGAAGGACCCCTGTCTTCTGTAACTTATGCTAAATAGTTTGGCTTTATCTTGCTGAGATTTTGGCCATTGTTACCCTTCCTTCCCTTTTAGTGAATGCTTTACTTAGGTGCATAGCTACCATGTCGTTTTTTTCTTTCTTTGTGTGCTCGCTGCAAGAACGATGTTTCCTCCTAGAAAGAAGTTGAAATCTTAAAAAATGTTTTTTTTCTTTTTTCATTTTGAGTCGGATAATGTTCTTTTACAAGCCTCGGAGAAATGATACATTTTTAGATTAAAATGTTGCTTTTTGAAGTGTTAGTGAAATTGAGGAAGGGTGGACGAAACACCCTCTTTTAACTAGTTGCTTGTTCTTAAGGTCATGTCAGTGTTTTACTGTTTTTCCTCTCATAGTGCAGCTCCTTGACAGAATTTCAAGTTTATTTTAACTAACTAAAGTGCAACTCATAGCAATTTAAGAAAGATGTATTCCAATTTCTTGCAAGTCACATTCAGGGCCAGTTCAGCACTTTTAAAAGAGAGTGAATCCAGAGCTTTGTACTCAAGTAATCTAATTACACAGTGGAAGCACACTGCTTGGCCATATTCATCCACCATCCTCCCCCACAGGAACAGTGGCATTTGTTTGACCCTGCTTGAGAGCTTGCTGCAGTGGCAGAAAAACACGCATTTATTTATCTAACAGAAGGTTAGCTTTGTGTCGCATTGGTGAGCTGTGTTGATTGGGAGTGCCAGTGCCAGCCCACTATGGGAGAAGGAAGAAAAGTGTACTTTTTGACAGCTGGATGCTTCACTAGCTTTGCTGTACTAAGAAATGGAACCAAAAGGAATACCAAAACTTATTTTATGTGTTGGTCTGAATCCCCAGGACCCATGGATATTAGACTGAAAAACCTGTATGATACATGACAGACCTAAAACTTACTTTTGTCAAAGTCTAAATTCAGATTTGTATTAATGAATCTTTCTTCTTATGTGGCAGTACTGAAAAAAATGTATAAAATGACATTGACTTTTTTGAAATCATCAATACATGTGAGCTTTCTGATCATGAGTTTCTTGAGCAAAAATGCAAATTTTTTTCCAGCATAACTGTATTTTATGGCTGCATTTAAACATCCAGTTTATAAATCCAGTTTATCTGGATGTATAATGGACTTCCATTTTAGAGAATGCGACTTTGCATTTAGTGACATCCTCTAGTGCTTTAATTTACAGGAGCAATTACAAGCTCTAGATCAGTGGGAAGAGCTTATGCTTACTTTTATTTGGATGTACTGACTGAATCAGTTAAAGCTATGGGTTTTTTATATATTATAAGATGTTAGTAATGTATGTAAACTCCTGTACTTAGCAAAAGGAGACAAGTCTTGCAGCCAAAGGAATGCATGGATAATCTGAATGTGAAAAATTAGTGGTAAAAGTTTATCAATCCTTCCATGCATGAGAAGTCATAAAATATAAATAACAAAAATGCCCTGTCTGTAAAAAAAGAGATCTTAGTTGTCTGTGGTCATCGCTTGAAGCTCTTTTTTACATGTCTTAAGGACTTTCTGGCTTAAGGACATATAAGTAACATCTTTTTCTTCACAGGAAAGTTCTGCATTTAAGCATGAAGTCTTTTGGTTTTGGAAAAGGGTCAGTGTTCTTTAGTTGTCAAATCCGAGAAGTTTTTTCAGGTGTGTTTTTTCAGCTTTCAAACCACCACAAATAGTTACACAGCAATATATGAAATATTTGTTACTTTTTGCTCTGTCTGAAGCTCCTGCAGAAAGTGGCTACATAAGGTTGATGGTGGAAGTGAACACCAGGTGGTACCATTTCACAGCTGCAATTGAGCTGAGGCACAGCAAACTCTGCTGGAGCTGAACTGACCACTCCAGCAGCTTTTCCCCAAGCGACATAGGCTGTGATCACATCCTTTTAATTTGGTTCTGTTTTGTTTTTAATTCTTTTTCTGATTCTGACAGCCCATTTTTGGTTCAGAAAAGTGAAGAGTTTGATTAGCAATACTAAGGTATTGCATAAAACAAAAAGTACAAGCAAATAGCAATAAAATAGTAAAGTCAACTTTACAGAAGATGAGATTTCATATGGTAAAGTTTCTTTCATAAACTGAAAGGCAGTAATTTCCTGTAACTTGCCTTTGGTTTTCATTTGCTTTTCAACTAGTGTGCTCACAGGATGCTAAAAAAACATTTCGAGACACTACATCAGTGTTCTAGAGTCATGTGGTTAAAAGCAAGCTGTTTTCACTTCCTGTTTTAATGCTTCTTTAGCAAGTCAGAATTCTATTTTTTACTACAGGTACTGTGACTAGAGATTTAGCAACTCACTTGTAATAGTCTAGGAAGGTCTAGGAAGCATCTATTGCAAGCACATTAATGCATTTATTTTATTTGATCCTGAATACAGGGTCAAATTCCCTGCAAAGTTTGCCCTAAAGTTTTCCCTAAAGGGCACGTTGGTCTTCTGTTTTTCCTAGGAGCCAGTGTGTGAAGTTTGGAGTGGGAGATGAGAAGTTCTGACAAAAAGTGTCAAAATAGATTTTAAATTCATAGTAATAGAGTTAAAAATCCAACTTTAAAATCCAATTTTGAAATTGCAGATGCTGTTTTCTAGTTGATAAAAGCTTAGTAGTACAAGAAAGGTTTTGAAATACTACATGAAAATTGAACATCTAAAGGAGCAATAGATTATGATGTCATTACTTTATTTTTAATCTATTTGTGTAGCATCTGTGAATTCAGAAGGCAATCAGAGTGACCCACTAGCAGCCCACAAACTTGGGTTTCATGCTGCCATTTCTACCTTGATAATGAATTACAAGCTACGCTCCAAAGGCCCAGGGTTGGGGATCGGTATTTCTGAGGTGAATCCTTCCATCTAGCAGCTGTCGTCTGAGTTCTGTTCAGCTGCAGAGCTGTCTTAATTGTAGCATGTATCCTTTGCAGCAGGCCAGAATAGCTATGTTAGTAGCATAATAACTCTTTTCTAGGTGAAAAGTTTCCACACCAGTATCATTTCAAAGTGAGTGTTCTAGTTTGATTAAGAACTTAAGACACTGGTTCGTTTTTACTGAAAATGAATGTGAATGGTGATTTTTTTTTTTCCCCTCCCACAATGTTGCCTAGGAAATCTGGGACTTACCAGGCAGGAATTCTAGGTCTTCTCTTACTGATTTGTTCACATTGTGTCATTTTTGAAATTGTGATTTTTTTTGGCCAGTGTCCTTTGGGACGTTAGATTAATCTTTAAGGCTCATTTCATTTTTTGCGCTTTCCAGAGGCTGAGGCAACATGAAATGCAAGTCTTTGACTCTGCAAATGAGCAAACTAATGTTCTCTGCTGAGAATGTTTACATTATAATAAAATAAAACAGCTATTAATTTTTTCTTTTTGTTTCTTTCTCTTTCTTTCTTTCTTTATGTTTCCTCTGTGTGGATCAGACTATGGCACACCAGCTTTGAAGCAGGCTGAAGTTGATTTTGCTACATGTGTAGAATCATTAAGAAGTATTTTTGACTGAACTGTGGAGGAAGTGGAGAATTGCAGGTGTTTCGCTCCATATCAGTTAGCTCCAAAGACTTGTCAGGCAGAGAAACTTGCATACTTCAGGCCAAGTTGAAATTCTTAAGCTAATAAAACCTTTCTAGTTTAAGTTTTGCATATATACAGAGTATATTTAGAATTAGAAGGTAATATGCTGCTAAATTACACCAGAGCTTGTAGGCTGCATTGCATAGTGACGTCGCTTAAACCTTTCAGCTTTATAACTATTCATTCTTATTTATCTGGTGCAATTTTCTCTAATATCCATGAGGATTTTTAGCTTAAAGGCTGAATAACTTAAAAGAGGTTGACAGTATTTAGGAACAACCAGCTGCTCTTAGACTGTGGCATTCATTAGGTTTTTAGTTTCAGACGCTGGGCAGTAAACAGCTGAGGTTTTGCCATGCAAAGCAAGTTTGAGCCCTGCAAAGCTGTACTTAAACTCTTAACATGGCTCTGTGTTTACATGCTCAGGTATTGCGACGCGTTTGAAACAAATTACACTGTATCACTAAAAGAAATGTTTGATAGCTACAATGTGCTTAAAACTGTTGACTTGTTTATCCTTGAACATGTTGCGAACTATCTTGAAACAGTTCTGCTTGGGAACAGATGGTATTACCAGGCAAGAATCCAGAGAGGAATAAAAAAATATGTTAACTCTGGCCATTTTCCCAGGGGAGCAGTCCTTTTCTCTTTTTTTCTTGTGAGCATGGAAGGCAAGTCTGTGGTGACACAAACTGTATTTCCACCAAATTAAAATCTGATGCTTTGTGTTTTCTCACTACAGTAGTAAGTAGGTTAAGTTTGCTTGTGGTATACTTTTTTTTTTGTTTTGTTTTGTTTTGTTTTTGTTTGTTAATCAGAGATATACCAAACTAAGGCTGGGAGAGACACGTGCACACTTTATTAAGGCTGTGAATAGTGTTGAACTAATGGGTCTTGATCTCATTAGAGAATTATGGTTTATAATAAATGTTTCACCAAAACAAGTTAGTTGAGTATTGTTTTAATCTTTTCCAGGATCAAATATGAATCGCTGTGGATTCAGAGGTTCTTCATATTTAGGGATGCCATTCAATCCCTCCAAGGTCAGTTAAGAATGTGTATGTGAAATGTTTTCAATTAGGCAATAAATGATCTTGTGTCTTTTTTTATAATATTAACTGTAAAATTACAGAATGTCTGGAAGGCAGGGAATTTTGTACTGTTAATACTGAAATGTTTGCAGAACTTTTAAGAAACGTGCATAAGAAACATACTAAAATGATACCTAGAACTTAAATTCTCACAGCAATGAAGAAACTGACACACAAATTGTGGCTTATCTCAGTGCAGTCTCCTCCTTCTCTGGTCTTCTCCTAACAAAGGAAAACTTCTCTAGCTGAAGAATTGTCATGAGGTAGAGAAGCTAAGCAGAATAACCCTAATTAAGTGGTGCAGAACGTGCTGTTCTTTGGTATCATAGAAAGGTTCAGGCTGGAAAGAGCCCTTAAGATCATCTAGCTCCTATTCCCTTGCCGCAGGCAGGGACACCTTCCACTAGACCAGATTGCTCAGGATCTCATTCAGCCTGGCCTTGGATGCTTCCAGGGAAGGTGATTCCACAGCTCTGGACAATTTGTTCCAATGCCTCACCACCCTCACAGGAAAGAATTTCTTCCTAATACGTAATCTAAACCTGCCCTCTTTCAGTGTGAAGCCATTCCCCTTGTCCTGTCACTGCATGCTCTGGTAAAAAGTCTCTCTCCATCTTTCTTGTAGGGTCCCTTCAGGAACTGGAAGGCCACAATTAAGTCACCTCAAAGCCTTTTCTTTTCCAGGCTGACAAATCCCAATTCTTTTACTCTTTTCGTAGAGGAGAGGTGTCCCAGCTCTCTAATGAACTTAGTGGCCTCCTCTGAATGTGTTCCTACAGGTTCCCATGCTCCCTGTGCTGAAGACCCCAGGGCTGGACACAGCATTCCATATGGGGTCTCACCAGAGGGAAGCAGAATCCCCTCTCTTGCCCTGCTGGCCACACTGCTTTGGATGCAGCCCAGGACACGTTTGGCTTTCTGGGCTGTGACTGCTCATGGCCAGGTCATGTCCAGCCTCTCACCCACCAGAGCCCCCAAGCCCTTTGCTCTCAATGACTTCTGTTCTTCTCCCAGCCTGCACACTCCCAGTCTGGGGTTGTCCAGACCTGGGTGTAGTACCTTACACTTGGTCTTGTTAAATCTCATGAGGTTCTCATGACCCATTTCTGGAGCTTGTCCAGGTCCTTTGAGAAAAGTGAATCCCGTCTGATGCCAGTGTGTCTGGTGCCATGTAGGCATTGTCAAAAAAACTACCTAAAATCTTGGCAGTGGTACTAGCCAGGGAGGCATGTATTGATAGACTGGGCCTGACTCTTTCTTCCAAAGTGAGTGTCTGCAACTGCAAGTGTCAGTGTCTGCAACTGGTATTTCTCTTCCTGTGTTGAATCATGCATATTTAACTGCACCTGATACCCACCTGGACTTTAGGCACATCTGTTCATCCCTGTTCGTCATGGCGATAAGAACGGATGCTTTGAAGCCCAGTGAACTGAGGTTCAGTAGAGTTAAACTTGCATATGAAAAGAAAATGCCTTTAATAAAAGACAGAAATGAGGTTAGTTTAGTGGTCTCACAGATTTTTCATCCACTTTTCAGTACAATTTGATTCTTCACTCTCAAACACAGGACAGAACTACTCTACTGCTTTCGCAGTCCTTCCTACACACTCGCCTCTACTTTCCATTTCCAGCTGTATCACACCTTTAGCAGCTCTACAGTGTAGTATTTTAAATACTACATTATTTAAATAGTATTTTTAAATAATAGTAGTAGTAGTAGTGCATACTTTTGGAAACCTTTTTCAAATCCTCCCCAGCTTTACGAAGCTAGAAGAGTTTATTCTGGATATTGTTCTGAGGTCTTGTAAAGGACCATCTCTGTAAGATTGGCAGAGCATTGTTTTACCCTCCCAGTACTTTCTGTTTTTTTAATTTAATTCTCACCTTCCAATAGTAAATGCTTCATAGTGAAATATTATCTTTACCGGAAGTATGTTGCTGTCCATTGGTGTCTTAGAATGTGTTGACCACTATGCATTTGAGCTGAAGGGGTGGAATCAAGTTACCTCTAGAAATTAGCTGCAAGGTCACTATCTCTAGAAAATTGTTTGCACGTGGATGTGGTTTTTATGCAAGCATTGCAGTACTTTCTTTGTTGTATCTGCATTTCAGGGATTGCATCTGTTTGATTTATTAGCAAAGAAAGGTGCAAAACATTTACAGCATTGTTGCTTGACATGTTCTGAAATAACTCAGAAAAAAAGATTTGAAAATTCACTGCCATGACTCTGGGATGTGTTTACGGTCATATAATTTTTCTTTTTTCATTATTTAAAAGTGTTCTGTTAAGTCTGCCATGAAAAATATTTTTTGAAAAAGCCTGTAAGCATTTTGGATTCTCATTGACATTTACTATCTGTTACATGCCATTACAGTGATTTCATTCTTGAACTCTAGGAGAGTGATAGCCAAATCTATTCAGTCCCTAGGGGCCCTTCAAAATAAGAAAAAAAAAAAGTGAGGGTTATGTTAGAATATCCAGCTTTACTAAATCTCTCAAGAGCAGTCATTTGGGTTTGATTTGGGCGTTGTGGTGTTTTAGCTGTTGCCTTTGAGGTGTTTGAGAGTCGTGTTCTTTGCAGCTTTTTGGGACAGAAGCAAAAGTGAAACAAAAACATATCCACCAACTCACCACACAGCCCTCATGAACTGTGACAGTCTTAACTCTGAATGTAGGCTAAGAGTGAGTCCTCTATCATCACATTCAGAACAGTATTACTTTTAGAATTAGAAAATAATTGTATACTGAAATGGCTCCAGATTTTGAAGTGTCTCAGATTTGCTGTTACTGCAGTTTAAACTAGCTTTTAATTTAGGAGTGAACAGTCTCCTCAAAGTTTCAGGTAGGCCTAGGTCTTTTCAGTATGTTGGAAGTGTTGTGATTCAGTTTTAGTATGTTGAAAGTGTTGTGAATCAGCATTTAGTTTTCAATAGCTGCAACTTTTATGTAAGATTGTGGTAATTAACATATGCTTTCACTTGGGGGGAAAAAAGATATCTTTTATGTTCCTGCCACAACATTGTATTTTCTCAAGGCTGCAACACTGATACTGGTGAAAGATGAATAGTTATAAATATTTTGCAGAGTGAATTAAAAAAAACCCAATAAATAGAATACAAAAGTAAATGTAAGATAAAAATAAATACTGTAAAGACCCAGGTAAGCCTGGGCCGAAATATCTCTGTACTCCATATTTTTTTATTTTAAGCAAACCTCTCTGTATTATATTTTTAGAAGTCCTGTGCAACATGGTCTACTGAAAAATGTCTCTGTCCATGGCAGGGGAATTGCAACAAGATGACCTTAACGTCCCTTCCAACCCAGGGCATTTTGTGGTTCCACAAAGTGAGGAATGGCAAGGTCTTGCAGAATAGTTTTGAAACTATTAAAGAGATTACAGAAGCAGAGACACCTTGAATTAGTGGCTAGATACTGCATTTGGCAACACGCTGTAAGTTTTACTCAAATTAGCTAAACCAGCTAAAATCATGTGCTTTAGATGGACTTAAGTCATTATAACATGAAAAAGACGCCTCTAAAGCTGTGGCTACCCATGTCCAAGTGAAGACCCCTGCCAACTGAACACCTGAAAAGTGTGTTGTGAAATACATCAAAGCACGCAAAAGATAGATTGTCAAATAGCTATTTAGTAGGCATTTCTTTAGAAATTAGATAACTACATACTTGTGTATTTTGAAAGCACAATTACGCTTCTTGGCTGTAACCAGGTGCGTTGGGTTGGTGGACTTAGCACTCAGCACTTGCTCTGTGCAGACATGTCAAAACCACTTTGCTCCGTGTGTGGATTGGCACCTGCTTGAAGGAACCCTGTCTTGAAAGTGGGACTGTGCCAGTGCAAGTGCATGTTTAGTAGCATTCTTTGTCAGTGTTTGAAGAGATCTTGCCCATGCTTCTGCAGCAGAGAGAGTTTATTGGCTCTGCAGTGGTCACTGGGAATTCTTGGTGGCCATGAGTTATGTTTTAATGGCTGTTCTAATTGATATAGTAGGGAACACAGTTGTCACATCACTGAGCCAAGTTTAAATGTTTGAAAGCTTCCCCCCAACTTAAATCTTTCAAGTGTTAATTCTTTTAAAGAAGGCTGAGATTGTGGAGAACATGATGGTAATTCCAACAGAATAGAACTGTTTACTCCATCTCTGAGATCTAAGTAAATCTATTTCATATGGGACCTACAGACTAATTCTTACAAAAGGCAAAGTGCATAGAACAGACCCTGGTCATACCCCCTTTGTTGTCTTCTCAGAGTATATCTGCACCAGTGCATTAGCTCAGGTCAGTAGAGACCACTTAACAAAAGCAATTTAATGTGCCCTGTTTGTCTATTTAATGTGTAGGGTAGGAGACAGTGATGGGAGCACTGGCAGTACAGAGATGGGAGTGGGAGCTGTTGGGATTTGTGATGCCACCTCAAGAGAGGGTCTAGGACTGGAAGTAAGGGAGAGGAGGTGCAGCTCTCAGCACATACACTCCTGTTCTCCTTCACTGTTACCAAACTTTTTTAGTGCTGCTGAACCCATTTCACCCTGTTTTCTGCCTCCCTTTCCCAATTGTCTTTGATTTCCTTGTGTGAAAGCAGTCTCTTGCTGTCCATTGGGTAATAGTAATTTTTCTACCAGTTTCTTACTAGAAGCAAAGTTTTTTGGCTTTGGAAATAAGCATGACTTGCCTGAAAAATACCAGTTATACATAACATAATATTAAATTTGGTTTTATGCTGCTTTTTCTTTGTGTTTTTAGGATGTATTGCAAAATAAGAATTGCAACTGATTAGGCAATAATGCTAATAAAATATCATTTAAAAATCTATCTCTACTACTCAGTATTGAAATAGATTTTATTGTGTATAAAATAGTTATCTTCCAGTTGCTCCAAACTGAACCATCCCAAGTATCCACAGTATTTTACATGTGGTCTTTGTTTTCATGAAGTGGTACAGTCCAGGATGGGCCTATAAAATACCATAAAGAAAAACAGTAGTTTTAGCACAGCTGTATCAACCCCTTCCCCATTTCTTTGACTTGTATTGTGGGACTAGTCAGCCTTTTACTATAATTTTTGCTTCTCAGTTGACATTCAGTGATCCTTGTGAGTACCTTCCAACTCAGGATATTCTATGTTTCTGTGATTATTTGGTATATAAATACTTTGTTTGAACTCTGATTGTTATTCTAAAATAGAGATGAAAGTAGGTAAGAGGCTAATTTGGTATTGCTTCAGTTGTCAGAGAGATTACTAACAATCTCTCATACTGCTTTCTCCTTGTAGATCATTATGTTGCAAAATCTCTGCTGAGGGGCCTCCAGAGTTTGTCTCTTTAAGAGTGCTTACCCAGCTGACAGGAAGCTAATGCCCAGTGGTGTGTCAGGACAAACTTAGGTACAGTTGAGGAGATCCCATTTTTTCCTTAATTGTTTCACAAATGGAGCTCTTGGAAAAGCTTTTTTCCAAAGGCTCCTATTGACCAAGTGTTTACAATAGCAGCAGAGTTAAGCAGTAGCTTAGTTTGATAAGGAAAGCTGAGTAGGATACCTTCAGTTTAACCATAATGAGTGAAGGGAAAAGTAATTTGTTTACCTCTTACCTTAAAAAAAAAAAAAAATATTTGCTATAGTGTAAGCTCTTGTGATATTTCAATATTTCTATTTTTTTTCCTCCTTTTTTAGGGTCCAGGTATATCTCATCCATATGATAGTGGGCACATAGCAATGACTTACACAGGACTATCATGTCTAGTTATTCTTGGAGATGATTTAAGTCGAGTAAATAAAGATGCCATACTGGCAGGACTGAGAGCTCTCCAGCTGGAGGATGGAAGGTAAACAATATTTTATATGCTGCAACTCCCACTACCCACATGTGGAATGAAACGTAAGAAACTTGGTATTTATAGAAGTAGCTATAATATTGTTGTTCTATTAGAAAAATAGTTTGATTGGTAGTCACATGAGTCATAGAATATATGCTGGCTTTTTGGAAGTAGTTAAGTCATCAGAGAGTACTGACTAGCTCTTTGAACCAAATGGAGGCTTGCCAAGCAGCAAATCCTAGAAGAAACAATTTAAAATTTATTTATTGTCACAGGTAATTCAACATTTACCTATTTTTGTATATTATAGAAGCATTTAGGTAGTAAAAGACCTTTGAGAGCATGAAGTCCAACTCTTAACTCAGCACTGCCAAGTCCAGCACTTAACAATGTCCTTAAGTGCCATATCTATGTGTCTTTAAAATACCTTCAGGGATGGTGATCACCATTTCCCTGGGCAACCTGTTCCAGTGCTAGACAGCCCTTCTGATGAAGGAATTTTTTCTAATACCTAATTTAGGTGACTAATCTAAACTTGAAGCCATTTTCTCTGTCCCACTAGGGAGAGGAGACCAACCTCCACCTTGCCACCTTTCAGGTAGTTGAGTGATAAGGTGTCCTCTTGGTGTTCTTTTATCCAGGCTGAACAGCCCCAGCTCCTTTGGCTGCTCCTCATCAGATTTGTGATCCAAACCAGTCCCAGCTCCACTGCCCTTCCCGAGCACCTCAGTGGTCTTCCTTGTCTTGAGGGGCCAAAATGGAACACAAAGCTAGAGGCGTGGCCTCACCAGTGCCCAGTACAGGGGAATGGTTACTGCCCTGGTTCTGTTGGCTACTTTCTGGTGCAAATATCCAAATCAAGGCATTCATCATCATCTTAAGAGTCTCTGAGATTGTGCCAAAATAACCCAGATACAAACATTTTTAAATGTTCATAGAGTTTGGTGCGAATATAACAATAACTAATTAAAAACAGATTCACCATTTGTATTAGAAATCGTAGTATTAGCAATTACCTTTATACATACCTGGAAACTGGTCCTCCAGTTGCAGTAGGGAAAGAAAGCCTTGTGAGCTATTAGGATTCCTAGGAAGTCAAAGAATTCTGCCCAAAAGAAGTAAAATGCTAAGTCATGCATCTGTATATACTGTAATAGGTGAAAGACTGTAAGCATAGACATCTTGGAATAAATAAACACCAGTATTGTTATGCTGCTGGAAATAGTTTCTCAGGCTCCTAAATGTTTAGAGTTCTGTGCATTTTACTCGGCTTAGAATCACATTTTCTAAAAAGAAAATCTAGTGTAGCTTTGGGTTATATTTATGAGACTACTGTAAACTAATCTTTAAAGAAAACACTGTGCAATGCTTTGAACCACATTTCATGTTTTCTGGTCTAACAGGCGAAACAGTGTTTAAAGACAAAAATGTTTCTTTCAGTTTCTGTGCAGTGCTGGAAGGAAGTGAGAATGATATGAGGTTTGTGTACTGTGCTTCCTGTATCTGCTACATGCTCGATAACTGGTCAGGCATGGATATGAAGAAAGCAATAGACTACATTAGAAGAAGTATGGTGAGTGTTCACAAAACGTTACTTCTTCCTATGCTTTAAGGCTTTAAGCTTTTTTCTTAACTATGGCTAAAAAAATGTCTGTCCAAACTGTATTACGGTAATTTCTTTATTTTTTCTTCCTGCTCTAGCGAGTTGAGAATTACAAAGTACATTGTTTTTTTGCATTTGTATTTTCATTAAAATGCTTGTGGTAGGAAGATATTTTTATTTGGTGTGTTTGTTCGTTGCAAATTGTATTAAAAAACCTCTTTATTTAAAATAATTAAACAATTGAAAGCAGGTTTTTGAAAACTAAGGTGTGATGTTTGTGTAACTTAGGAAAAAAAAAAGTGCATAAAGCACTTTGGAAAAGTGTACCAATAAAATCCTCATATTTCATTGAGCTGTAGTACTGCTTTTTAAAGGTACACAGATTCAAATAAACTAATTATTGACTTCAGTTCATGCCTAAGTGTTTCCAGTCATGCACTCCATAATTTATTTATTAGATACTTGTAATGAAAAAATATATTCACGAGGACGTACACATTTTTTTTCTATGTCTGTGCAAATTGTCTTTGTATTCAATTGGAGTAAAGAAGATTTCCATTTTTTTTCATGTTGTTACATTAGTTTAATTGAATTACATTTTCAAAGATTGAAACACAATCTTTTAAGGAAGCTGAGCAAACTTGAAAATTGCAGTTCCCTTAGTGTGAGTAAACACAGATTAAACTCTTGTGGTCCACAAAGAAGACCCAAATTTGATGACACACAACTTCTGTTGTAAATGACTATTTTCAGTAGTTGCTGTCAGCAGCAAGATTGTACAATTTATGTGAGAAACAAGTTTAAAAAAAGACTTCAAAATCTCCTGCTTCAGACCAAGTTGCTTTTTATTTGTTGTTTATTTTTAAAGGAGGTAGTTGGATGCCTTAGTATTTCTTACTGTACACCTCAAGAAGCATTCTGGCACACTGCCATAGTCCTGGACAGACTGAGATGATCAAGGCCAGGGCTCAGTCATACAAGGATAGGGACCTGCAGTCTGTTCACATCCTAGTAGCACCTTTTATCCCATTTCCCCCTCTGTTTCCCCTTGCTTGTTCTTCCCCAGTCTGCTTTGATACTTCTGTTTCTTACCACTGGCCCTTTCCCTAGCCATCCCGTAGTAAGTTGTGCAGTTGTGTTCTGCATTCCCCAGAAAAATGCCCATGAAAAGTGGGTTTCTATACAATTCTGGAATCTTCCTCCCCTGCCTCCTGTAAGATCCCTTCTCCCATAGTTGGTAGCTCACCTTAGTTAGCATGGGTTCTCAGCATGAGACTATCCCTGCTGAATCCTTTCAGTGGTTTTCACCCAAGGACAGTGACGTATCCATTCTCCTTTCACAGTCTGAGAGAGGAGCTTAGGCAGGGTGCTTGCTCTTACTGATTAGGTTGGGAGTATTCTTCCTCCTCTGATCATTTCTGGACCTTAATGTTTACTGAGATCAGTCTTTAGTCAAATAGCTTGGCAAAGTTACAGTAGGAGAATCAAGTGTTACAAAAGAATGGAAAACAAAACCCAACTGCAAAATCCTCATTGTGGTTCTGTACATCACACTGTCTGTTAGTTAACCTTGTGAACATTTGAGTGCAGTTTTGATCCCAAAGGAGATGGTGGAACTCAGAATGGGACAAAGAAAGTTGAGTTGAACTGTAAAAGGTACGAATCAGCTTGTGTAAAAGGAGTATTTAATATACTAGGAGTCTTTATTCTGGAAGTGAGATTGTTAACTGGAGTGTGACAGTGATATGTAATGTAACAGGCAGCTCTGAAAAAATACAGAGAGGGAGTAGCAACTGTTTCTTTCTAAGAACAGACAGAGAACTTCATATGAGGCCATTGACAGGGCAGGTAAGTGGAGAGTTTTTGAAAGTTTAGAGCTTTGAAGTTGTACTGGAGATTTATTGGGTAGTGTGGTCTTGAACCAAATTTAAACTTTGCTTCTAGAGCTTAGAATTAATTGTTGCACCTGCAAAATCCAGTCATTATGTTCCTATTGGAAAAATAGGTACCATTTTAAAAAAACCTAATAATTGAAGCCATATAATGGCAAGACATCTTGGAAGGCCTCCTACTAATACTTCAGTTCACCAGTAAAGTAGAACTAAGTCTTGGCATGGTCAAAGTTCAGAAGACACTGTGGCTTATCACAAAGGTTGTGTCTTTTCCTGGCTAGCTCAGAGAATAACTTAGATAGGTCCTATAAGCAGTCCTCTGTAAGGAGCAGTCATTCCAGCATGTAGAAATGTACAGCAAGACACACTCTATTTTTGTCCAGGTTTACTGTGAACTGGTAGGTAACTCTACACTGTGTTCAGTAGGACTTCTTTAAGCCACTTGTGTGCTGTGAATTCACTGCAGAGTTGATTGCACATGTACACTAGTTCTGTCTGTGTTTACTGGGTTTTCACTCCTTGGCCTACCAGTATTTCTGTGAGTTAATTCAGTTGCAAGGCGTCTGGCAGTTCTAGGAAAAACATAAAACTTTTGCATCCTGCTTGGTCACATTTAGAAGCTGTGAATGTGTTTGAAGAAGTCTCAAGACATTCAGGGAGTAGCCCGTTGTGAAGATCATTTCACAGCAGTGGTTGTTCTTTTCTTTTATTCATTCATCTCTTTCTGCCACTTTCCTTGAGATGTATTTCAGTTTAATTATCTATCATAGGAGCCAGATATTTCTTAAAGTGTATCTCATAAATAAACACAATGACTGTGAAATGTGGCATCCGAGAATGTTAGCTTGATTTCTCTCCTTAAGGTTTTGTAGATGGTGCTAGAACTAACCTATACAATGGAACAATTTAAAGTAAATTCTGTTTGAGGTTGTTTCATTTGTTACTCCTTGTGTAACTAACGGTGCCATTAACAACTATAGGCTTTATTGTTAGTGCTTATTCCTGTTTTGCTACAGTGTCACCTCATTCTGTCACTTTCTTTAGTTATAAAAAAGAAGGGTTTGCATTGCTTTGACAGGAAGGTGTGGTTTTGATTTACTGTTGTGTGTCACTCGTGTGCACCTAGATGAAGCACATGACAGTTAAAAGAACTCCTTTCAGTTTTTCAAATTGCCATACATGTGAAGTGTAACTGATCTGGATTGAGAATAATGTAACTGGTTAACCACAGTACTCTTTGTTATAAGCTTGTGGACTTTTCAGCTTATTCTTTGGAATTTGTTGCCTTTAGTGATGCAGTGTAAGAATTGTGACATACAATTGAATACCACTGAATGAGGAATTGCATTTGTTTAGTTAGGCATGTCAAGAACAGCAAGAGATTGGAACATACACCATGTTTAAAATGTTAAAAAGAATTGCATCTTCATATAGAATAGATAGCCTTCTTGTTGTTGTTTGACTGAAAAAGTGTTCATACAATGCTGATCACAAAAATAATTCTGGACCAGTTTTAAGTCAGTAAAGTAGTCAGATTTCAACACCCAATTTTTAGCAGTGTAGATTGACTCTTGTCTTTCACATTCAAAATTCAGATATATCACTAATCAAAAGACAGCAAACGCTAGGATGCTGAGAATTTGAGTGACTTCGTGACTTCCAGAGACTCAGTAACACTGCTCTTTGTAACAACACTTTTTTTTTTTTTTTTTTTTTTAAGTAGAGATATTGCAAGAAGCTTTTAAAATATCATCTGCTTCTTCTAGTATAGTCTTCTTCAAATGCACTTGTATTGGTCTATTGATACATGTAAACTGGTTGTAAAACTTGTAGACTTTGAAGTGAAGATTTTACCAAACTGGATTTTCACATTTCCTGGGGACAGTATTTAATTATGCAGTTTTCATGCTGCAATATCAAGAGCTCCTTTTGCATTCAATTTCTGGAATCTTTTCAAAAGGACCAAGAAATGAAAGTATTCCCTAGCTCTTTAAGGCACACAAGTCCCCAGAGAGCAGCTGCTGTCTGTAAATAAATAGGTATCAGTTAGCCAAGGGTCAGTTATTGTCTGTTAGAGTTTAAAGCTAATTATACAGCTCAACATAGCAGTGTCTGGGATGGACACTTAATAGCTTTTCTCTAGAGCTAATGACTTTGTCATACATAAAGCAAGCCACCTCCTCTTAAAATTGCTGTTCGTAGAGTTAATTAGCTTTGCCAGCATAGCTTTTCTAATCAGCTTGCCTTTTCTTAGCAATTAATGCATCTGTGGAGTGTGGTAGCACATTTGTATTGCATTCTCAAAAGCTAGTGAAAAAGGAAGAGTTCACACTGTGTGCTTTAACATTCAGAAGTTGATAGAGATTACTAAAATTTACTGGTTCAACTCTGAGAAATCAAGCTGCAGCTTGAAGTGTATGTATCAAATATACAACTTGCAGCAACAACTCAAAACTAGGAGTACAATTTTAGTGTAGCTTCTGTGTCATCTTCTGTTCACTTTTTTTCCCTCAATGTCAGCTTTAAAAGCTCATGCACAGAATAATCCTTCGGTAATTTCTAAAGATACGATAGTCCTGTAGCCATTCTTTGGTTAGGACTGTGGGAGTCATTATTGGTTTGTCAAGGTGTCCTGTGTCTACTAGCCACTGTTTTAGAGAAGACATGAGAAATTCATAGTCAGCACCTGGAGGATGTGGGGGAAAGATTTTTGGTGCTTTGTGTCTGATCGGATACTGATCCAATCCTTAATTGAGCAATTGTTGTAGAATACATTGGGCCTATGTAATTTAACTTCAAGAGTTACACCTCATTGTTCCTACTAAGTAGGTATTTGTTCAGAGATAATTCATTAAGTGTACTATGAACTCTTATAAAATAAATATTTTCCATTTTATGAATAATTTCTTTTGTGATGATCTTTTGTTTCTTTTCAAGTGAAATGATTGAATGGATTTTTAGGGAAGAAAGATTATTATTCTTACATTTTGTTCCTAGATTGCTTGTGACAGACATAAACTATGATACTCTTGGTGCTTTGTCAGATTTGAGTTTCCCCTTTTGTTGCACTTAACAGAGTGGTTTTTCAGCGCTGCAGTGATATTTTTTAACAGTAATATTTGATGGGCCAGTTTAAGTTTATTCAAATGCATGTTATAATTTTCTTCTTGCTTCTGGTTCCCTTCTCATTGTTTTTTAAAGCCTGATGTACTTGCTTCTTACTGAAGAATTGCTTGGATTTAAGTATTCTATACACAGTAGTACTTTGCATTTTACCTCTTTTTTAAAAGTTAAACTGCTCTTGGATTAGAGACAGATTAAGTTTAATTCTGTTTTGTTTTGATTGCAAATTCTTTTTTTTCTTTTTATACCTGCATTACATGGTTTTTTTTTTTTTTGTGGTTTACCCTTTCAGGTTTCTGACATGTCACAACTAAAATGAATTCCATGAAAGTCATAAAAACTTCCTGCATTGAAAAAGAGCTGATTTGTTAACTGTGTTGTGGCAAGAACTTATGGAGGTTCAGAATTTAATGAGGTTAAATTGTGGCAATGATCTGATGATAATTTTGCTGGTAAACTAAGAATTGCAATGTCTATCAAAGTGCTGTGGTTCTAAAGTAACTGCTTTGTGGGATTTTTTTTTTCTTCAGTCTTATGATAATGGCCTGGCACAGGGAGCTGGACTGGAATCTCATGGTAAGAATGTCAAAGTGTTCTACACCTTCCAGAGTGGTATTGAAAATGCTGTAGGAGGTGCAGGGTATGCCATACTTTTCCTTCTTTTCTGATTTTTAAGGAAGTTGTGTGAGGAGGAGCAAATCCAAAGCATACCTCCAATATCACTTCTTCCTTTAGATCTAGCTTATTATCTGAACAGACAGGCTTTTTTTAATCACTCCCATTAATCTTATCTCATGCGTGTGTTGTTGAAAGGTGTTGCTTGTAGTTCTCAGCTGTTGCTGACAGAGCAAACTTATTCCACATGCACCATTGTGACTCTGAGGATTTTATCTGCAAGAGATTTTGTGCGATGTAACTGATCATTTCCAATTTCAACAGCTTTGGTAAAACATAGAAACATTTCCTCTGATAGATACAGCATCTTGTGGGTTGTGGGTTTAAATCTTGAAGTAACAGTTAATTTTTGTAAAGAGTTGGTAGATCTGAAGATAGGAATCCCCAAGAGACTGCGATTTTTAAGCAAAATGTTTCTGTGCCATGAAGTAGCAGTCTGCTTGTGACTGAGGAGTTTTTGGCTTTTAGGTGACTGATACTATATCTAGTGCTGTGGTCTGTTTGCCTGATTGGGCCAAGGTTGGACTTGATGATCTTGAAGGTCTTTTCCAACGTAAATGATTCTATGATCCTATCAAATGTATGTTATCTTTACCCTTAGTATTGAGCTTCGTTAGGATTTTGTCTGTTTCCTTCTTGCTGGATCAATAAAGCTGAAAAATTTAAATTATACTTCTAGGTATTAAAACAATTGGTTAATTAACTTTCTGTAGAATGTTAGTGATAACAAATAGCAGTACTTCAGCACTGCATTTCAGCATCAGAGTGAAAATAATCTTACAGCTCCTGGGGTCTTCCAGCACCAGGGTATTATAAGGAACTTTGGGGCCCAAGTCTTCTGTCAGCAGCATGCTTATGGTCTTTCCCACCCTCTGATTTTTTCACATCAAGTATTTTACTCAAAATAAAGTTTGATGGGCTTTAAAAAGTGGTGGCTGGGCTACACAAAGAACATGAGTTTATCTTTTTTACCATGCAGTTTCCTTGACAGCAAAAAATTCCTTAGAAGCACAATTTGTATGTATCGCAACTATGAGAGCCCAGGAACCTTTTCACCATATTAACTGTGCACTTTTTTTTAAAATAATTTTAGTTTGGATTTTCTTTTTCCTTCTGCTCTCCAGACACTTCTGTCTGTTTATATTCTCTGGGGGATTGTGTCCGAGGCTGGCTTTGGCATCTCTGCTTCAGTCTGATTGCTGGCATTCCAATAGCTTTCTTTTTTAAGTTACAAGTGAAGAAATATTTCTGTTGCAATTCCATTTACTTGTTTCTGGACTGCTGTGTAATGTAAATTGCACAGCATTGTGAGAAGAAACAGTTTTAAGAAAATGAGCTGGTTTATTTCTACAAGAGATGGGTTGAGGGGTTCCCCCCCCACCTTTGACATACCTGCTGAACTAGAATATTCTTATTTATTTGGATTTTAGACTCACAATTTACTTTTTCATACTTTTAAAAGTCCATTGATTTAATTGCTAATAGCTTAGTTAAAGTTCTCACTGAGATCATACAGACTTCAGAAAATCTGTGAATCAAAGCATAGCAAACCCTGCTCTCTCTTCACAGGGGGCTCTACATTTTGTGGTATTGCATCACTGTGTTTGATGGGCAAACTGGAGGAAGTTTTTTCAGAAAAAGAGCTGAACAGAATAAGAAGATGGTGTATAATGAGGCAACAGAATGGATACCATGGACGACCCAACAAACCTGTAGACACTTGCTATTCCTTTTGGGTGGGAGCAACACTGAAGGTAGTGTACAGAACAGGTGTAGGGATAGTTATTGACTTGTTTTGATTTCTTTAAGCACTATTTTCTTTGCTTGAAAGAGTTAGATATTTGACACAAGTGCACCAATATTCACCAATGACTATAAATGTCTTTCATCTTGCAAAAAATGTCAGAAATGGAGGTTTACCAGATCAGTGCTATCTGTGCTGTTACTGCTTATCTCAAAAATAGGCACTATATTCTAGTGTTAAAAATATACTAAGACTTAGTTAAGACGTAGTGTTAAAAGTATACTAAGACTTATATTACTGTTACAATATAATTTCTTTTCAGCTCTTGAACATATTCCAATATACAAATTTTGAGAAAAACCGAAATTACATCCTGTCAACTCAAGATCGCCTTGTTGGTGGATTCGCCAAGTGGCCAGACAGCCATCCAGGTAAAATAACTTCTCAAAATTGCATTGAATGCGTTCTAAGTAAGAAACAAATTCCAGCAGACATCTGAGAGGTGTAAGGGAAACTGTATCCTTCCAAAAAATAAAAATACCCAGAAAAGCCAAAAAAACCAACCAACCAAACAAACAAAACAAAAAAAAAAAAAAAACCCTAAAAATATAAAAGTGTTTTCATTCTTGAAGTGGAAAGAGGAAGATGAAGATTTTCCTTGTTCAGCCACAGAGGAAGTGAACTGTTGTTTTTTATATTACTGTTAAAAGAGTATTATTGTCTATTTTGTATGTGTTTAACTGTTCTGCTTAAAGGAATCTCTGTGTTGTAGGAATCTCTGTAAATTGAGTTTAATATATCAAAATATTTGTTTCTTTAGTAAATTAATAACTTAAGCATATTCAGAAGTCATTGATATATGTAAAAACAGTCAAAGTTTACACAATCATGTACTGTGATTTACAGGTTGTGTTTATACAAGTATGTCTGACAGTTATTATGCTTTCAGAAGTGGATAATTTGAAGTAGTGAAAAAACTCAAAAGGATGTTAAAATTTTGTAATTTTCAAAGTTGTTAGAATTCAATTAAGGTATTGCAAGCTTCTGAAAACAAAGCTTGTGCCAGTAGTGTTTTCAGTGCCTATTTTGTACAGGGAAGGTAAACTGTCTATGTAAACTGACCAAATAAGATAAAAATTTAGTCATAATAAAGGAAGAGTCTGTTTAGAAACTGTGCCCTGGTATTTGATCTGTTGATAATTTCATTTAGAACAACAGTTCGGATTTTTTCAAGGTGAACCCACACTGAAAATACAGTGCTTGTGATAGATTTGCTTCTGCCTCTTCCCTGAAAACCAGTTTAGTATTTCTGAGGAATTTAGATGTATTTCTTCCTCATCATAGAGATTTAACAGTATCATTTGGAGAGAGTGTTTTGGTTTATCTTAATGAAACATTTACCTTGTGAGTCAGAGATTAGAAAAGTCTATTTCAAATACCCATCATGTGTTAACCTGTCTTAATTTCCTTTTATGACAAGGTTGTCCCCCTGGCTGACCAAGGGAAGCCAGTTGATATAATCTAAGGCTTTCAGTAGTGTTCCTTCCAAGATCCTTCTGGACAAACTGTCCAGTACATGGCACCTTGAGTGAGGGACAGTTCTGGTGACACAACACAAAAAAGACACGGAGCTGTCAGAGAGTGTCCAAAGGAGGTTACGTAACAAGGATGGTGAAGGGCCTTGGGGTGAAGCCGTGTGAGGAGTGGCTGAGGTCCCTTGGTCTGTTCAGCCTGGAGGAGAGGAGACTGAGGGGAGACCTCACTGCAGCTACAACTTCTTATGAGGGGAAGAGGAGGGGCAGGCACTGGTCTTTCCTTTCTGGTGACAGTGACAGGACATGAGGGAGCAGCCTGAAGTTGCATTAGGGAGGTTTTGCTTTGATATTAGGAAAAGGTTCTTTATCCAGAGGATGGTTGGGCACTGGAACAGGCTTTTCAGGAAAGTGGTCATATCACCAACCTGAGAGAGTTCAAGAAATTTTTGGACAATGCTCTTGGGCCTGTGGTGTAACTCCTGCGTTGTCCTGTGCAGAGCCAGGAGTCAGACTTTGATTGCCTTTGTGGGGTCCTTCCAACTCAGGATATTTTATAATTCTATGATTCTCTCTTTTAGTACAGTTCTGACTGTTTGAGATAAGATTTTAAAAAAGCAAGATAAATAATAATTGTTTTCCTTTGCTGTGTGTGTGCATGTTTGTGTATTTTCCAGGCTTACTGTAGCATTTTTTCCTCAGGCAGATGGTGGCATAAGTCTGTGCTCATCTTTCTAAGGAAAAAGTAAAAAGTGCAGTTCTGATACAAAGAAAGACTATAAATGCAACATTGCAAAGTTTGCTTCTCTGTTTTCATTGTTATAGATACACAACTGAGCTTCCTGCAAGCTCAGTCTCATATCTGAACAGCAAGTTGTCTTTTGATCATTTTGACACTATAAAGATTCCTTAGACTTAATCAGAATTGGATTTTAACTTCTGTGGCTCCTGCTTTGTAAAAGCTCTGTTTAAATTGGGAACTCAAGCTGTTTTTGCTGTGCAGTAATGTTTTAAAGAAGAAGACTAGAAAAAATTTCAGAAGACAGTCAACTACTGGTGATAATCTATGTGTTATATGGACTTGCAATGTTAACAAGTAACTCTTTCCAGCTGATTATTCAGGGAAATAATATTTTGTAGTCTTGCTGTGTTCCCATGCTAACAGACATCAAAATATTGTTGGTTGTGGAGGTCACTAGCATTATTTAACACAGAACTGACAGGACAAGAAGAAACAGCCTCAGGTTACACTGGAGGAGATGTAGATTGTATAGTAGGAAACATTTCTTCACCAGAAAGGTTGTAAAACATTGGAACAGGCTACTCAAGGCAATGTTTGAGTCACCATCCCTGGAGATACAGTATGGCACTTAGGGGCAGGGTTTAAGGATTGGAGTCTGATCTTGTCCAACCTAAATGATTCTGTGATCATGTTAGTGAGATACTAAATGATTGACACCTACACAGAGTGCTACGTGTTGAGCTTTTTCAAGGGGCACATGAAATTCCCATCATCTTTCTATCTTTCACCTGTGATTTCAAGGGCAGATAATCCAATCTAATAGCTTGCTGCTGCCCAGAGGAGGCAGACTCAGCGAGCTGCAACCCTGGTGTAAGGTGGACATCAGGAGCAGCATGGAACAGGAGAATAAGCGTATCCCATTTTGGTGGCAGTCATCTCTTGATCAAGCTGCATGAATTCTCGTCCTTAGGATAGTCGCTGAGGAAAATGGGAAGCTAGGAAAAGTAATGCCTTCTTCAGTTTCTCTAAGCTGCTGTTGGCAGCTATTTCCACTAATTTTGTTGCTTCAGTAGTTAGCTGCTCATAAAGTAAACAGCCAAAAAAATGCTTGCAAGAAAAAAAAACTTGCTTTCTGGACTGGTTATTTTCAGATACTTAAATCCTTTTGCTTTTTGGCTGTGGCACTCAGAAAAAATGAAGTAGTGTACAAGTTGTTATAAAAGAAATCTGGACCTTAGTTCATACTGGTAGCTCTGGGCAGAAGTGTTTTCCTTCCATCAAAACTCAAGTTTAAAATATGGCACCTAATTATTTGTTTTCCTTTGTTGTAATTACTCTGAGGTGTTTGAATGTGGGCTGAGTATTGGCTGTTACAGCCTGAATTTTTTTTTCCCTTTTCTGTCTGTCTTTCAGATGCTTTACATGCCTACTTTGGGATCTGTGGTTTGTCATTAATTGGAGAATCTGGTATTTGCAAAGTTCATCCCGCCCTAAATGTAAGCACAAGAGCATCAGAGCGTCTTCACCACCTTCATCAGATCTGGAAAACACGGACTTTAAACAGCGCTCAGACAACACACACCTCTCTACATGACTGATTTAGACTTGAATTTAGTTCTGGTAGCATAACTGTAGCCCAGGGTTAAAAGCCATGTATAACCAATGTGCTCTTTTAAGTGCTGGAGTCATACAATCAGATCTGTGTTGCTGGCATCACTTTGATAGGGAGTTGCCTTCAGCAGGTTATTCTGCATTGTGAAATGGGGAATATTTTGATTATATAGAAATTTGTCACCGCAGACTGTAAATGGCTTTTCAGATGGCTTTACTTCTAAGAAATCCCTTGAGGCATTTAAACTTCATTTTAATTTTATTTTTTTAAATTTGTGCATACTGTGTCAAAATATATAATGGGGAAGTATTTTCAAAATTGTTTACATATCATACAGTATAGCACAGAACGTTGAAGTTCTTTATAATCTTACTGTTTGACATATTTTTGGGTAGAGAATCTCTCACATTAAGTCTCAGTTAAAAATTACCTATTATCATCAACTTTCAGATTCCATAAACTTTGTTTTTCATAAACAAATTAATTAAATACAAATAAAATTATTTTATTCAATATACTGGACTTTTAAGGTTGTGTGGCCTTACTAAATGGATCTCATAATTCTTCTGAATAGGTTTTACACAGATGCAGTGGATTGTTAGCCAGACAAAGAGTTTTCATCTGAAGTAGTTTCTTCATGTGAAGTTCACTAAGAGTGTGGCATATTGATGTGCATCAGTAAGAGATTTTCAGCCCAGTCTTTTGGAAGCATACCTGTATGCAAGAGTAGCATTAGAACCTGCTTCCAAAGACAAACCTTTGCAATACATTGAAGTTGTTCAAATTAGAGTAATGATGAACATTCTCAGCTTCTTTAGTGCTTTACTAGTGCCTTACTTTGTATGCTTGAAGTGCTGTTCACAGTTGAAGCAAGTAATTTTGCAGCTGGTGTGTTTGTGGCAGGTCAGTTTGTGCATTCAGTAGACACCACAATGTCTTTCTACTTGCCAGTCATTAACAGCACTTTTTTTTTCTAAAGGTTCCAAAGACAACTGAAGACTTCCTAAAACAGGTTAGGTGCACCATTTGCCACTGCTGAGCCCAAAGAAACAGGATGTAGATCTTTTTGGTCAGCAAAAAGAGCTTTGGGGATAAACATGATTCCTGTTTTGCAATGCAGGGCAAGTGAGAAGGGTCGTGTAGCTTGTACCCCTAGCACACATGTCAGAGAGGTCCAATAGGTATCTTTAGGCTACGAGAACAATCCCATTGCCCAAACCTGTAGCAGCCTTCCTACCTATATAGATAGGTTTTATTTCTATAGCAGATTAATTTTCATGGCAGCTTTGGGAGCATGACTAGTGATGGTAATCTCCTTGGAAAAGCAGAGGAGGAACAGGGTGGGGTGTGTGTGATCTAGACACGTCCCAGTAGACACTTTACTTGGAGGAGGAGAGACTCAGTAGTTGTAAAAACTGGAAAGTCCAGAGGGGTGGAACCAAGAGAACTGTGAGGTTAGTACTGGAGAGGGGGAATAAGGTGCTTGAGTGGGACTGTTGCAGAGTAAGAGAAATGAAAACTGAGAGATACTGAGGCTGGAGGCAAGAGAGAAGAATGTGGAGCAGTAATGGAACCAAACTGGTGGAAATTATTTGAGTTGCTTAGGGTAAGATTAGGGAGCGAAAGAAAGGTACTGACTCGAGGAACATGAAGGAGTTAAGGGGAACAGATAGAGTTTGGGAATTGGTTTTATTGCCCACAAGCCAAGATGACCAGAAGTCCAGCCACAAGTAAAAAGAATTGCAAGATACCTAAAAGAGAAGATCTCCCAGACAGGGGGCTCACTACAGCAGTTTCTGTGGGAATCACATTTTCCTGGATAGGTTTAATGGGATATTGGACAGCAAAGGCTAAAGTAGTTTCCCTGAGCAGAAGTCTCTAAGGTCATGGGGGTCTACCTAGATGAAAACCCATTTAAAACCAAACAACAAAAATCTTGAAGTAAAAATTGATCAAAAAAGCATGGTATTTTCTTGTCTTTACATCAGATGGTGACAACAAGTTGACTTCATGGTAGGATAGGTTGGGTTTCTGGAACACAGTGTAGTGCCAATGAAGATGAGATGTAATTGTAGCTATCCATCCTCACCACTGCTTCTCTGCCTTGCTGGTGAACCATCTTTGAGTTTTTTAGCTTTTACTACATACCGTGGTAGAGGCAGTAGCTTTGAATTTCAGAAGAGTTGAATATGGTGTTCTTAGTCTCTGCTGGGAAACAGTCTAAATATTTGTTCTTACTTAGCTTAGTGAAAAATTATGTATTTGATTATCATGAGGCAAATCCATACTTGCAAAATCCTGAACTATGGTTCCTGACTTGTCCTATGTGTGACACATTCTCATCTGTGAGGCTCATCAGTCTCTCAGCAGAAAATATGGGGGTAACAGTGAAAAATCATACTATGTGAACAAGAAAAATTCTCATGGCAAGAAATTTAACCTTTTCTGTCTCAAAAAACAGGTAACATTTCTTGCTTGTTTTCTGTAAGCTACCCTGCGTTCTTTATATGGATTTTACATTTCTTATCTCCTTGGCCCCAGTTATTCTACAACACCTTTTCAGGCTGCATGTTGACTGTGGAGCTAGCTTTTCCTAAAGGTTGCACAAGGCATATTTGTTTCTCATTAACCCAAAGTTTGATGAAGGCAGCAAAATACCTATGCTTTCATCTCACATTGAGTATGTAATTGCTATAATTCTTTTGAAGTCTTTAATCTTTTTTAGGTTACTAAAAAATCAGTACTAATAACCACTTCTGCATATGTGATTTGCCATTCTGAATGTCCCAATTTATGTCAGGCAAACAGATTATGAACATTGAATGTTCCTGTGTAGCAGACATCTGGATTCTGACTGTATTGAATTGTCTCTCTGATTTTTGTGGTTTATTGTGTCTTCTGACTAGAAAAATGTTAAATGAGAAGTAAGTGGACAAGAGTTTCACAGAAGTCCATAACCTAAAATCACTTATAAAGGGGATACATCAAAATAGAGCTAAAACTTAAATGTGAACTGTGGAGTTTAAATGTAGCTAGAAAAAGCAATTGCCTACCTCTAATAATTTTGTGTTACCCACAGCTTTACATTGCTGAGACTGAACCTACATAAGGAATTCATGCATTGAATGGCTTTACCATGTGCTTGAGGATGTAAAACCTCTTGGCTATCCGGCTGACAAGTGTGAGTGCCTCTATCCTATCTGAAACACTCGCAAACTCTATGTGTGGCCCAAATTTCTCTTCCAGAAAAACAGCTTTAAAATGTTGTGTTGAACAAAGGAAGTCAAATGTATCTTTTCGACAGGATCTGAGGTCTGGGGATTTAAACATTGTCACTAGGGCTTTCAGGCCTACTTGATTTGTACATAGCTGCTGACAGATGTGGTAACATCATTTTGGAAGGCTGCTTCCAAGCATGTTTGTATTTATGAATTTTCATATTGATAACTGTTTTTTCTAAATAGAACAATCATCATCACTGAAAAAAAATAGCAAGTAAATTGGGTATTGCAGAAATACCTGAAATGCATATGCTGAAGCACATATTAAGAGTACTGTGCTCTATGCTCTATTGCCCAAGGTAAAAGACAAGCTGAGAGGAGCTGAAGAAGCTGCATGAAATATGCTTTCTCCATGGATGCCAGTATAGAAATTAAATATTCTATAGAAACTGTTGTCTTCCCTAAAAAATACATTTCAACTTTGTGCTGAGTGAGCCATTCAGTATGGGGTTGCCTAAAATAGAAGGGAAGAAACAGTGATTTCCAAAGTCAAAGCCTTTTATGGACTGCCCACCTCCTGGCATTTTGGAGAAACTTGCTATCAGTGTCCCTGTGGAGGGCAAAGAGATGTCAGGACATGCATAAGAAGCAGAGAGACCCTAAGTAAGAAGATGCTGTTGTTGCAACTAAACATGAGACATCTCCAAAATGTATCAGTTGAATGAGATTATTGGTCTGTTTACCTTGATATTAAATACTGTGGTGATTCTGAAAAGCTCTTTTTTTGCTGTTGCAAGAAAAGACCACTTAACAGGTTTTCCTCACTGCGTATGACACTGGGTGAAAAAGTAGTCTCAACATCTTTATACTAAATGGTTATTAAATTACTCCACTGAGTGGTTACAATATGTTGTAGATTTACACTTTCTGTTCACCATTTTTAAGCTTTTGTGTTCCTGGTCTCTATTTGCCTGATTAGTTTCTGAGTTTAATAAAAATCAATGAACTGTTGAGAAAATGAGGGAAAACTGTAATTTCTTTTTAACTGTAGCTCTTGTCACATGTTTTTCTCCCAAGTTACATGTTCTGGGTGAGGGCCTATCTTCCGAAGGACACAGAGCATGACAGCCTCCAAAGCCTTCTTCAAGCTGAACCCATCAAAGGCAGCAAACCTTGACACTGCTGCTTTATTTTTGAGGCACTGGAAAAGTGCCTTGTTTGATAACTACATTGTGAGAGCACAGAGTCATATAATGGTTTGGGTTGGAAGGGACCTTAAAAATCATCTCTTCCAACTCCCCTGTTAAGGGCAGGGAAACCTCCCACCAGATCTGGTTGCTCAAAGCCAAACCCAACCTGGATTTGAACACTTCCAGGGATGGGGCATCCACAGCTGCTCTGGACAAACCTTTTCCCAGTGCCTCACCACCCTCACAGTGAAGATTTTTTCCTAATACCTACTTTCTCAGTTTTAATCTGTTCCCCCTTGTCCTGTCACTACATGCCCGTGTAAAAAGGACCTCTCCAACTTTATTCAGGTACTGGAAGGTGCTGTAGGTCTCTCCACAGCCTTCTACTTCCCAGGTCAAACATCCCCCCTCTCAGCCTGTCTTCACAGGAGGGATGTTCCAGCCCTCTGATCATCTTCGTGGTCTCCTCTGGATGCACTCGAGAAGGTCCATGTCCTTCTTATGCAACACTACAAATAGGATTTCACCAGACCAGAGCCGAGGGGCAGAATCCCCTCCCTCCCTGCTGCCCACACTGCTTTGGATGCAGCCCAGGGCACATTTGGCTTTCTGGGCTGTGAGTACCCATGGCTGGGTCCTGTCCAGCCTCTCACCCACCAGCACCCCAAGTCCTTCTCAGAACAGCTGCTCTCAATCCATCTGTTGCCCAGCCTGTCTGCAGGACCTTGCACTTGCGCTTGGCTGTACCACACTCCATGAGGTTCACACAAGCCCGCTTCTCAAGCCTGTCCGGTCCCTCTGGATGCTCTTCCTTTCTTCTGGTGTGTGGATTGCACCAAGCAGCTCAGAGTCATTGGCACAGTTGCTGAGGGTGCACTCAGGCCCACTGTCCCTGCTGCCCACAGGGATGTGGAACAGTGCCAGTCCCAACACCAGGCCCTGCAAAAGCCCACTCATCACTGGTCTCTGCTTGGACATTTGGTGTTGACCACAACTCTTTTGAGTGATACTGTACAGCCCATTCCTTATCCATTGAGTGGTTCACCCTCTCCAGTTTAGAGCAAGGATGTCATGTGGGACAGTGTCAAAGGCTTTACATGAGTCCACATATATGATGTCAGTTGTACTTTCCACATCCATCAGTGTAAGCCCATTTTAGAAGGCCACCAAAATTGTCAGGCAGTATTTGCCCTTAGTGAAGCCATGCTGGCTGTCACAAATCATCTACTTGTTTTCCACATGCCTTACCATAATTTCTAGGAGGATTTGCTCCATGATCTTGCCTTCCACTAAGGTGAGACTGGCATCCTTTAAAATGTTAATCTGCAGATACAGGCTCTGTACTTGGGAATGGGATTGGACAGGCTGCTATCACTGGAGAACAAGTAGGATTCTGAGGAAGAATATAGTCCTGACTTGCAGTAAAAAGAGCAAGTTAATTGAGGAAGAGAAAATCTGTATGAAAACAATCTGCCTGCTGTCACTTTGAGAATTAAAAACGTTCGGGAAAGAGCTTTCAACTTGCCATACAAGCTGTTTATATTAAATTCACAAATGCAAGGAGGGAGATATGAATGTAGCAGCTGAGTTTTGACAATTTTAGCCTGCTTGTGAAAGTGGCTTCCATGTTAACTCCTAACAGTGATGATAACCAAGCTCTAGTACAAGGACCAGGAGCCACTGTGTTGTGTTGAGTCTGGCTGAGTTCATTTTCCCTTAGCAGCCCTCACAGGGCTGTGCTTTGCACAGGCAGCTGAAAAGGTGCTGGTAACACAGCGGTGCTTTGGTTGCTGCTGGGCAGTGCTGGCACAGCGTCAGCCAGTCTCCCCAGCATTCGTGCCTGCCCCATCAGTAGCCTGGGGCTGGGCACAGTTCTGGGAGAAGACACAACCAGCCCAGCTGATCCAAACTGACCCACGGGATATTTCGTAGCATATGATATCAGCCCAGATATAAAAGCTAAGGAAAGGAGGAGGAAGGGGGATGTTTTTTATTTACAGTGTTTGCCTTCTGGAGCAACCACTCCAGGTGCTGAAGCCTTATTCCTCAGAAGTGGCTGAACATTGCTCGCCAACAAAGGGAAGTAGAGAATAAACCTATTTTTTTTCTCTGCCTATGCATGTGCAAGCTTTCACTTTTGCTTTAGTAAACTGCCTTATCTGAACCTGTGAGTCCTTTTCAATCTTATTTTCTCTCTCCTGTCCAGCTGGGAAGGAGAGTGATAGAGCAGTTTGGTAGACATCTGGTGCCCAGCCCAGGTTAACCCACCACACCTGTGCACCACTGAAGCAACCACTTTGGATGCTCAATCTGGGAGGGCATGGAGGCTTTCATGAGGCTATTTCTGCAAGATCCAGCCTGGGTTTCCATCCAGAACTCTTCCTGTGTTCCCTTTGCTCCAGAGACAAAGGCTCTGCCTCACCCTGGGAGGGAGGATCCTACCTTATCCTTTTATGTGAAATCTGCAAAACAAAAATTTGAAGTGAAAATGAGTCAAGATTTTCTGTGGTTTATCGCCTTTCG